TGTCTGACCTGATACTATTATATTCAGTTCGTAGACATTTATCTTTTTGGAGAAAACCGATGCCTGGCCTTTAGAGGCATTGAATTGAACTTGATTACTTTCACCGCAATTCGATCACTTCTAGATCCTTATTAAGACATGCAACCTCCTGCTGCCGGTGAAGATGTGCCTCCGTAGCCAATGTAATGGAATCCAAATGGAATGACGAGACATGACGGGTATCTTCGTAGTGCCTTGATTTTTCAAAAAGAGGAAGATTGAAAATTTATGGTGCTTCCATAAGAACCCAAATACACCAATGGGTTGGTGCGAACATTAAAAAAATTGAATATAAAAGTAGCTTTCAAAACTGCACGTACACTTCAACAAGTGTTGGGCAGTACGAAAGGCAAGACGTTGAAGAAAGAAAAGTCTGGGATTTACGAATCAAACGGACTATATCAGCTCGCTACAAAGAATATGATTCGCATGTTCGGTTGCATACATCTAATCGGAAAAATCTAGTGTTTCTCAACATTCCATAGAAAACGATCACAGAATGAGTGAAAAATGTTTAGAATTATTGAGACCGGTATGCCTTCGGAAGCTTGGAAATCGAAAAGTGTGGAATGAGTTCTATGAATAGCGACGAAGGTACTATATCGAACAGCCCTTTGTTTGGTCTTATACGTAATAATTATAAATAATAAACAGATAAATATTAGAGAAAAATGTTGGGGATAATCACTAACATAGAGGAAATACATAACAAATTAGAGGTATTAAAAACAGGTAGTTTAGCAAAGGATCAGTCACGGGTAGTAGTTATTTAATACTAACCGGTAGTAGTTAGGTTCTACTAACAGGTAGTAGTTAGGTCACTAGCATATAAAAACACCAACATGGTAGTAAAATTTAGTCATCTCCCGATGGCGCTAATGGGCGTCGGGAGATCGTAATTTTTGTTCTGGTGTTGAGGAAGTGTTTTCGAAAGATTCATTTCATGCCAGAAGTTTCAGTATGAACTGAAAAAAATATTTTTTTGTTTTTCAAAAAAATCAAAATGAACTGGCTGATTTCGATTCTTTTTGAATATCTCTGGACTGATTTCAATTCCCTACTTTTTGAAATGTCATTCAAATCAGCTACACAATGGCAAATTCGTTTCTCACACGGTTTTGAATTTTCCCATGCGGTCCCTTTTTTTTCGAACCAGGGTATAGAAGAATATCAAAAAGCTCACCTTGTATCCACAAATTTGTTAAAAAAGTGGCTCTAGGAATCTTTTTGTTTCCGAACTCCATTTTATTTGTTCATCAAATGCGTGCTTGAACGTTGTGAATTCACCCCTATTTGAAATGAAACTTTTTGTAACTATATGTCAATATAACCAGAGATAATTTTCATTCCGTTCATAAATTTTTCAATTCAACAATTAAAAACGGTTTTTTTGTACTACTAGTTACTGTAGTCAAAAGAATAATCATTTTCCCTCAAATGTTTGCCAACTCACCTTGTAGGATTCTCTGACCATGTCAAAAGAGCACAAACACAAAATTCCAATTCATAGTAATTCACGTTAGAACTCCAACTAGCATCGTATAAATACTCTTGTTCATGGGACAGTGATAACTGTCCCACTACTGTTGATAATGGAATGTTTCAATACTAAAACTCAAAGAAGACACTAAAATCTTGATTCATGTTAGGCTGGAGAGCGAACTGAAGAGCTTATTGAGCATTTGTAAATGGAATAGAAAATGAATATCATAAGCAATACTTAGAACATAAATCAGGCATTTCATTGTGAATTCATTTCGTGGTATCACGGATTCAAAATATTATAATTCGTATTATTAAAGTATTAGATGGGCTAAAAAAGTCGTAGGCTAATACATATGGCGCTACTAGTATTGAATCCATATGATTTTCAATTCCAAAGACACGTGCACAAATTTCACAGCTGTCGGACTATTAGTTTGTGGGATAGAACATTTCAAGTGAAGCAACTTCTGTTAGTTTGAAGAAAATGGATGAAAATTTCATTGCCTTTCGGCGAAAGAAGATACTGTTGGAGCGGAGGCTTGACTTGATAAACATTATTCGAATTTTACACTAGGAAAATAGGAAAATCAACCGTTGAGAAGTGGTTAGCTGAGTTTGAAAGAGGCGAAACGAGCACTGAGGACGATGCATACAGTGGACGCCCCAGAGGCTGTCACCGACGAAAACATCAAGAAAAGGCATCAAAATAATCTTGGATGACCGCAAAGTGAAGTTCATCGAGATATCTCAGGCTGTCAAGATATCAAAGTACCATGTGGGACATACCGTGCATGAATATTTGGGTATGCTTTACTCAAAGAGGGTGTCGAACGAGCTCACAATCGACCAAAAACCAATGTGATTATTCTGAACAGTGTTTGTAGCTGGCCCACCATCGTCATTTCACACCAGATCGTCATTTGAGTGGACTACAAGTGGTGAACCGACTCCAAAACGTGCTGACACAGTTATGTTACCAGTATTTTGGGATGCGTATGGTATAGGTTAGGTTAGGTCCAAAGTGAGTGGGTCTATTCGACCTTCCACCGCAACTTGCAAAGGTTTATTGTGTCTCAAACCTATTCACACTCGACCAAATGAACCCAGCTTCTTAACGAAGCCGACTAGTTTGTATGGTGAGTGGTCTTTCAGGTCAGATGGTAAGAGTACGGCTCTGCCGAACTCTGAAAACTTGATTCGGTACCCAGCGGGGCAGGCACAAAGTATATGCTCTGTTAATGAGGTAGTCGGATAGTCAAGTTGCAAGATTCCCACGACAACCTTCCCATATGAGGGTTTTTGCACATCAGCTACACCTGATGATGCCTTAGATTCAACTGTGCAGGGCTTTTTCGCCTCTGGTTTTGGTGAATCATCACTTGAGCGCGAACTTCTGCTAACCTGCTCATGGGGGATTTGTTCCTCCACCTGGGACAGATTCTGCGTACGCCGCTCAAGAATTTGATGCAAGGCGGTTTCATTAGATACCCCGCTCTTGAGGAGACCACTCAGTCGTTTTCTGACTGTACCACCAAACCTTTTTTTAAGGTTCAGTTATTGGATCAGGAGCTGGAAAGTTAAGAAGCTCTCGCTCCTGATCTAAATTCATAGGGAGGTCAGCTGGAGTCGTAAACTCGACATTCATCTCCTCTGTAGATTCGCTCCTGATCTGAATTCACAGGGAGGTCAGTTGGAGTCGTGAGCTCTACATCCATCTTCTCTGTAGTCTCAGCGCAGAGATAATTTTTAACTTCACTCTGTCCATAAAAGTCCCACGAGTAGCTAGGAAAAGAAGATCAATCAAGGCAGAGCCCCGCATTATCGTGACAAGGCGATGCTACGACGAAGGCTCTGTAGAGACAGCTGATAGGCTCAGTGTCATTCATCCTCTCGGCATGGATACACACACCTTAGGATTAAGCCATGTTGGGATACCATTCAGTTAGGGAATAACATACCCACAAGTGATTCTGTCATTCCTGTATCCAGCGGGGCTACGTGGAAGCAGGCATCCCATGGCCGGTTTGCTCAACCCACACATCCCTAGCCAATGCACTCGCCAAAAACAGCATGCACAGTGGTTCAGGCAGTGAAAGATGAACAAGGACAGCCAACCCGTCCGCGTATGGTATAACATTCATCGACTGTCTTGAAAAGAGAATAGCCATCAATAGCGACTATGACATAGCGTCCCCATTTGAAGAAAAAAGTGCTGCTTCATCAAGACAGCACACCTAATCACAAATCAATGGAAACGATGATAAAATTGCATGAATTGGGCTTCGAATTGCTTCTGCATCCAGCGTGTTCTCCAGTTCCGGCACTCAGCGACTTTTTTTGTCGAAAATGCTCGCTGGAAAAAAAGACAGATCCGATGAGGAGGTATTTGTCGAAACTGAGGCCAATTTTTAGACTGAAGACAATTTGTACTATCAACATGGTATCGAAAACCGCTGTAATCGTTGTATTATCTTCGAAAGGAACTTTATTGAATGATAAAATCAAAACGTAAGAAAATTTTTTTCTGTGTTAGCCTACAAACTTTTCAGCCCAATTTAGATGCATGTAACTGAAACCGGCGAAAACAAGATCATGAGAACTAATCGGGGAAAAAAATATTCTATATCATAGTTTTTCCCAGCCAAGGAAAAAAACATAATATCGACTGATATTTTCTGAAAATCAAGCAATTCCCAATGAATCTAAAGAAATGAACTTCAAACGTTCAAGCCAGTCTCGGATATACCTACACAGAAGGTTGAATGGACTGACGCCTATCAGAAAACAACTACTCCCCTGGCTGTGATGAATGTTCGAAGTTCTTTTCTTTAAATTTGTTTACTGTCAGTTTTCAAGCATAGCCCACAGACTAATAAGAACATTTTTCTTCTTTATTCAGAGGAATCGGACAAATTTCGGATATGCAGTTGGTAAGTACCTCGTCCACTAGATGGGGTGACATTTTGTTGTTCGCTCCAACTTAGGAAGAGGAATGAAATACTCTGAAATAATTCCGATTTTCAATTATGGAATATCATTGACTTTAGGTCGATGATGGTCACTATCTTGCACTGACGAGTGGCTAATGAGCCCGAAACCGGCCTGCGAGTGCCCGTTCCAAAATTGAAGGTCGACTCTTTCAGTTGTATTGCCAATTGTATATGCAGGAAATTTTCTGTGGAGATTCCTGCACTGACACGCGAGGGGAGTAGTTTTCTGATGGGCGTCAGTCCATTGAACCTCATGTGTAGGTATATCAAGACTGGCTTGAACGTTTAAAGTTCATTTCTTTAGATTTGTTTACTGGCAGTCTTCAAGCATAGCCCACTGAACAATAAGAAAATTCTCAATGAGCCATTTATAGATACTACTTCTATTAAATCTCTGAAAACACTACTCATGATTGGATTGCGCTAATGCTTTATAAAATATCTATTGGTACGGTCGTGGCAAATTTATGCATGTTTTTGTCGTAGCTTCATCACCACCAACCACATCTCCCAGACCGTCAACCACGGAAACACCTACCAGATTGAAGGATGTGTATGCAAATGGTGACCTGAACAATTCTGTTTATGGAAATCCGTCGTCTCTAACAATACATCTTGCTGACAAAGGTATCTCAATTGTAGATGTTTTTTCATGCTAATAACTAACCTATGTTTAGCGAATTTTTAGTCCTTCCTTCATTTTATCCCCCACACTTTTCCCTGTTGAGGCTTGAACAGCATGTCTGCCTTTCTTATTTAGAAATTTTTGAATTTCATTTTATTGAACATAAATAGCGTTTTTTCAATGTTCGCCCCATTCATTTTCTGAATGAGTCTATTCAGAAAATTGAAACTTGATGACGTTTGAGGTAATGAAACTAATGCATGATGCATTTCAGAGTAAAATTGACAGCAAAAAATTCAATGATAAAGAGAGTCTCATCATTTCAAAGCTCCTGACGAGTAATTTATAAGCCCAGAGTATAAAGTATACATTTAATGATATCATCGCCCCTACTTATTCAGGTGTGTCCTGAGTAATTTTGACGCACTCTATATCGATATAACTAGGCGGCCGTTGAAAGTTCGCATTGCCGAGTACGAAATAAGCACACAATGAGAATGTACCAGCAAATGTGTGTATTCATCAACATAACATCAAGTGGTCCCGAACAGTGATCCCCCATAGAAAGGAACACTGGTTTAGAAGGAAATTCAAAGAAGCTGCATATATCTTGCCCAACGACGCATTCAGCCAAGCTAGCATAGAAATACACAACCCATAATCAAGTAGAAAATGTTCATCTCATGCTAATCCGGTGAAGCGGAGAGGAAAAAGGGGATATATGAAAGCACTCAACAAATCTGTGGAAGATGACATTTTCCCAAATATTTTGAAATAATGAAAAATTGTTCCTTTCTTGAAAAGAAATGATCCCTTGTTGATTGACAACTACCGACCAATAACTGTTCCTAGTGTGTTGAGCGAAGTAATTGAAACATGTATCTATGAACAACTACTTCCTTTCTTAACGAAACATAATGTAATTAACAAATGTCAAAATGGATTTTTCCCCGGTAGATCGACGGAAAGTGCGACTGCAGCTTTCTTGGAAAATATCTATAGATGAATTGACAAAGTAAAGTTTGTGGCCGCACTCTTCTTCGATTTATCAAAGGCTTTTGATTCTATAAACTCCGATATACTGGCCAAGAAACTTAGTGCAATTGGAATTCGAAGTAAATTTCTCTCTTGGATTATGTCTTACATGAAATTTCGAAAGATGTACGTAGAATGGGATAATGTAAACCCGAGTACTTATGACTTGGAAGTTTGAGCTACACAAGGCTCAGTCTTGGAACCATTAATGTTTTTATTATACATGAATGATTTACCACAACATATCGGCACTACTTCGATAGTTCTTTTTGCCGCCGATGATACGTCTATTTCCGCAGAAGCCGACAGTCCTTTGGAACTTAAAAATAATTGAATGTAATGAGTCAAAATTTCTCAAAGTGGTGTCAAAGAAATAGACTGCAGGTCAACGCAGAAAAAACAGTACCGGTACAGTTTTCTCCAAGAAAATCTGTGGAACATACCATACGTGTTATTATAAATAACTCGAATATGTATCCTTTAGGATCCACAAAGTTTTTAGGAGTTCACATCGACCACTCATTGAATTGACAATTTCAAGTTGACTACGTGAGTAAAAGACTTAATAGCAGTTTCTATGCCTTAATGCAGGTTAAAAAATACTGAGTGAAGAACAACTGTTAGATGTTTACTATGCTCTTGGTAATTCTGTTCAATCTTATAATGTGGTCTTATGGGGAGATGCAACATATATTATTTCAATTACATTTCAAGAGTTTTTGCCTGATATAATTGTAACTTTCAGTTATTCATTTCAATTTTCAATTTTATTTGTTCTTTCAGGAATTTCAAATCATACTATATTATATTAGACAATGGAAGTCCGAACTAATGAAATTCATCAATTGAATCATTTCCAATTCATAGAACTACAGCTAATTTTAGTCGCCATTACTACCAAAGAAAAGCTGAATTGCTAATAACTTTCAAAAACATTAATTCCCTAACTCGAGAAGCGAATTCCATTTCCTTTGCAGTTAAAAGTTGGAACACGCCTCGAACGGTATTGTGATAAAGAGCACAATATTATGAAAATATTTTGCATTATTCAAAAGCGGCATTTCAAGTTGACCATTGAGCTTTCATTCCGAAATACAACCAAATAAAAGACTTGGAAGTCGACTCAACTTCAAAAATGTTTAATGAAAACTTCGCTTACTTCCACTCAATATTAATTGCTCCAGGATGCCTTCATGTAGGGTCACCCTTCAGAAATGTAAATCACAAGCATCAATAAAAGACCCAACCACTTCAGTAAACGAGCTGGAGAGTTCGAAGATTTCTATTCAATTCGGGAAAAGATAATTAGTTATTACGAAGGAAGCTTGAGTGGAATCGAATACTGAAGAAGGCGTAATCTGAATTAGAGACGTTCCAGCGGGGGATAAAGGAGTAGTCTCGTGAAATTTCATTGAAGAAAATGACTCCATTGATTTGGGATATTCATTAACGATGGGAGTCAAGACACGCAATCTTTATCGAAGTCTGAAACTTTAGAAGGGCCGGGCCAAACAAGGAAAATATACACTAGCAACTCATTTTTATACCAACATTGTGATGAAATAACCTTGTAAGTCAATCGGCTATGAATGAAATATCTGATTGAAGCTGGGTAACATTCCATTCCTCCATTATCATACAATGTGGAATAGAGACTCATAGACAAAAAAAATGAAAGCAGCTCGCAAAGTTCATTATTCAATTTCGAAAATTTCATTCTGGTGTGGCACATAGTCTCCTAATTCAACCCCTGAAATGGAAATATGTTTTCAGAAATACCAATCACTGCAAATTACAAATTTTCCCAAAACCTCTATTGTGATTCCTCTTCATGAAGGTGGAGATATTGGTATCTCTTCTAACTTCCTACTCATCTCCCTGATAAAAACACTTTCAAAAATCATTGAAAAACTAGTCAAGAGAAAACTAGTGGATTTTCTCGGAAAAAATCAAATATTAACCCATTAAGGCCCAGAACAATTTTTTTACAAAATTGGTTATTCTAATAACTTTTTCAGTTCAAGGAACGTCAGAAATGACTCAGAAAAATACTTTAAAAAATGCTATCTATTTGGTTTTTGAGTTTTAAGGTGGGTCGTTAATGACCCTTGGGACTTAGGAGTGCAATACATGTACACTTGAGATATAAGGTGGCTTATTAACTTTATATTATTTGAAATTAACTATGATACGTTTGAAAGCATTTATCATGTAGCGGAACTTCACAAGCATCACAAGACCCGTTGGTCTTATTTTTGCATACCACACATCGGAGTCTTCTTTGTCCAGTTTAGATTATGTGTCGTCCGCTTGCAATTTTTGGGTACTGAATGCTTGCCCTCTTCGGTCCTGGACATGTGGTTCGTTTTCCGTATTTCAGTAAGAGTGCTTGTGTAACTGTACGACGGAAAGTAAGATTGTCTTCACTGTATCCATACTCACGCGCTAAAAGCCATGCATTTGTGACACATACATCGAACATCCAAAAAAATAGCGGAATGTACCACTTTTTGCCTCTAAATGCAATTCGGTAATTTGAGACGTGATTATCCAGCTGATCCACTCCCCCCGAGAAAGTATTTTACCTATTTACAACGTAAGGCTGTGATATGTTGACTTTAGATCTTTTTTTGCCGAATATCTTTTACATTTGACCACTGGTTCTAACCCATACTAATTAGACATAAGTGTGACAATATTTTTATCCTTCCAACGAACACCAACCACATTATTATGGTTATCAATTGCAGAACACATGGAGCCTCTATCAAGCTTCTTCATTGTGGCATTTTCTATCAGTTTGCATTTGCCAGTTCTGTTTTCTTTAGTGGTACCTGTTGCTCCTATACCTTTTTGACCCATCAAAGTGATAAGTTTTGCAGAAGTGAAAAAATTGTCAAAATAAAGGGAGAATTTTTGATCATCGTAATGTTTTTTCAGTATTTCTGCAAAATGAAGTACAGTCCCATACATTTGTCGATGTCCATGTTCTTATCTTTGCCTTGATACACTTGAAACTGTACACAGTATCCGTACTTTAGTGCTGCAACCCATGCCTTATATCCAAAACGGATAGGTTTACCTCTTATGCATTGTTCACATCCATGCCTTCCATAGTAAGGAACCATGGATTCATCAATATATATGTTGCTTTCAACAGGTGCATATCGCAAAACGTTATTATTTAGTGCATCAATAAGATACCTTACTTTGGCAAACTTATCGTTTTGAGGCAACTTATCGATATCTGCTGCATGCAAATTAGAAGATATTTCAAAAAAACGATTTCTGCGCATAGACTTGGCCACCAGAGGATAATGAACATCTTCGTTTGTTTCGCAATACATTGTTCTTCGTGGTAATGGAGCATATCCACTCAAAAGAAAAATTCCTATGTAGGTGTACATATCGCCAACATCCAACTGAAATCCTGCTCTATTTCTTTTCGCAGCATACAAGCATAAGAATCTTACCAAATTTTCAATAATTTCTGGGGTCAAAAATAGTTCAAAAAAATCTAAAGGGTCACTCTCCCTGGAAACAGTTAGGGGCTGACAAAATTTAAAATCAGTATTGGTTTCATTTTTCTGGAAATCACCTGGTGCTTGCCATTTGAAATCTGCAATTTTCGGCAATGTTTGTGAAAAAATGAAGTTTCCAATATTATGATTCACAGGTAAGTTTTTAGAAGTAGAGGGCTGAATTGTCTCCTAAATTACTTCTGCAGTTTCTTTGCTTTCTTCTGGGGGGTCGGAATTGTCATAAAAGAACTCTGCTTCAGCATTTAGTTGTGCTGCACAAAGACGGTCCGGATCCCTACAGTCTTCGTCTCCTGAATCTTCGGCACTCTCATCACCATCATTAGGTGGTAATCTCGCAATTCCGTCTGGAATCACATCATCTGCCTCTAAATTCTCTATCTGCTCTAAAAGCTCAGCAGCTGTGAGTGGGCGCTTCCTAAAAAAATAACCAATAAAAATATTCAAGAACTTCTGAGGCCCAAGGGGTCGTTAACGACCCACTAAAAAAAACACATGCAGTTTGGCAACCACGCAATCGAAGTTTGATTTCTTATAACCTTACTTGTGAGACATCTTTTATAATTGTACTAATTTACCAAAATAAGCAATGAAATACTAAAAAAAGCTACTTACCAGTTCCCATATGAAGTCATTGCACGCACAAGAAAAAAATACTATTTTCAACAATTTCTCTGAAGCCAGAAAATCACAAAAACCCTGAAACCAGCGACCGGCATGCAAAAGGTAAACAATACTAATATGGAAATGAGTTTTGATCTTTTGTTTATGCAAAAGAAGTTAGGTTTGACAATAAAAATCTGAAGTGGGTCGTTAACGACCCCAGGGTCCTTAATGGGTTTTAAGCAAATGCTATGGCACATGATGCCATTTTTTCATTACTATATGGTCTATATAACAAATCGAATGATGGAGAGAGTGCAGCTTCTGCACTGCTTCGGAAACAACAAAAGTATGGAATAAGAGGTGTGAGTCTCAATTGGTTTGAATCCTATTTATGTGAGTGTACTCAAATTGTTAACTTCAGTTAAAAGGGGAAGGGAGCCAGGCTTCAACCTGAATAAAATCAAGATGGTTAACGTCAAATTGTTAAAACGACCAGTTATTCTGAGGAAGAAAAAAACAAACTGCGGAGTTTCTCAAGGCTCAGTCCTTGCTCCACTAGTATTCCATTTGTATATAAATGATCTGACATCTATTAATATTGATGGTGAGTTCACACTATTCGCTGATGACACTACAATTTTAGGGCGTGATCAAAATCCCTCTGAATTTGAAACAATAACAAATTGTGATATTAGCAAAATAAAAAGGTGGTGTGACGCAATTCTCCTAAGTTTAAATATATCTAAAACGAACGTAGTTTCCTTCAAATGTTCCATTAGCAATTTATAAGTTGAGAACAATATTGTTGTGAATAAACCATCAACTGAATTTCTGGGACTAATTATTGACAGTGATTCGAAATTTGAAGCCATATCAGGGTTCTCAAATCAAAGTTATTCTCGGGGTCTCACGCTGTGAGGCTGACATCTTGTGAGTTGCGATTTAGTGCTGCCAAAGTTACATATCACTTTCTCATAAAATCTCACTTAAGATATGGAATCCCTTTCTGAGGTGCATGTACTGTGACAACATTGCAATCAATTTCAGTTATACAGGGCTGTACGTTTTCTGTGTGAAGCAAAGCCGCGAAATTCTTGCAGGCCACTGTTTAAGGAAAAGAAAATCCTCACAGTAATATCAATTTCTATTATTGAAAGTATATGTCTCATAGCGAAACATCAAAATCGGTTTTCAATTACGCAAACGCTACTAGCCAAAAAAAACTTCGATTTGTACATTGCAAAATATTCCTTTATCAACAAAGACGCCTTCATTTATAATGGGTTGAAAATATTCATTCACCTTCCATCTCATCTAAAAGGCGCATACCATAACAGGAACTTCAGGGTAGTTTCAATGGATTTTTTTGTGAGAGAGCCTATTATAATTCATCAGAGTTCTATCAAGGTTCACGTCGGAAAGCGTAGCTTGTAATATCTTCCGAAGGACGTTGGACGTTGTTCACAGTTGGTGCCTGAGGAAGCAGATGTCTGTCAGCCCTAGCGAAACTATGATAATCCCCTTCACCAAGAGGAGAAAATTGGAGGATCTAACGCCACTTTCCCTCAATTGTGAGGTCATTCCATTTGGAACGGAAGTGAAATATCTTGGCATTGTCCTTGGTAAAAAACTCACCTGGAACGCTCATTTGGAAAAAGTTTCACACAAATCCAGACTGTCTCTATGGACATGTTGAAGGATTTGTGGTAAAACTAGGGGTTTAGGTCCCAACCAATTCCATTGGATTCATGTGATGATTGTCAGACCAATGATCACTTCTGGTGCAATTGCCTGGTGGCCGAAGGCTTTACAGAAAACGGCCCAAGCGCTTCGCACTGATAGCCAGAGACAGGCTTGTCTGGCTATCAGTGGTACCATCAGTACCACACCTCAGCGGCCATGGAGATCCTTCTACATCTACCTCCTCTCCACATTTTTCTGCAATTTAATGTAGAGTGCAACACACTGTTGGTTGACACTGGAAGTGTGAAACTTCCCACATTTTTTGGTATAAGGATCTAGAAATATGAAGCCAAAACCTCCCTTTTCCAAAAAAAATCAACATTTTCAAAAGCTTCACGCCAGAAAGAATAATTATCTTCAACCTAATTTTTCACTCCATTCATAACAGTATTTTTTCACGTTTGATCAATATTTTATCGCAAATATCTCTAGCCCTATAGAATAACATTTTAGTTTGTCGAAAAAAATTTGTAAGGTGAAATACTAAAATAATTTAGCCGATATATAATGAGGAAGAAAATAAATGGTCATAGTTTTCTATCCCCTTTTCAAATGTTGAAATGACAATCGTTCTCTTTCTTTACAGGTTCGAAGTATCAATCAAATTTGAATGAAATCGACAAGTCCGAACAGAAATCAAGTTCCGATTCCGACACCAAAGGACACATATACGAGAATATTCCCCAGCACTCCGGGGAATCCCTCACGAGTGAGTATTTCTTTGGCAGATGTATGAATATAAATTTGTATCTCACTGATTCAGTCGGTCTGAAGGGATGGTGGTCATTTCTTATCCAGATGTTGGGTCAAAGGATTTTCCAGAGATGAATAAGTGTGATGCAATTCATTTCGAAGGCAGGACGGGATTTAGAAATAGCAAAGTCAGTTGAGTCTTCTGTAGTTCGTACCACACCAGTTCTGTATAGGAACTATTCTTGCACATAAATATAGCCAATGAAAACAAAATGAGATTGCTTCCTCATAGTTGGCATTCGAAAAACCTCTTGAGCACATTTAAGACCTCATTTGAAAAGCAGTTCAAAATATCTAACCTACAAAGAATTAAAGAATTGAAAATGGGTAAACATTTCTTTTTATGTTGAACTGTTTCTTTGACACAAAAAGATAATAATGAAGTATTTAATGAACTGATAACTGAAAAATAATTTGGAAGGTCCTAGGTAGCAGTCATCACACCACTCTCCTCAGCAATCTACAGTATTGCTCAGATGAAAAATAGTGAAATCGTCGGACGTAGTATCTACATATTTACTCCGGTTACTCTACGCCCAACAGTTTTATTATTTTTCTATATGATCAATACCGTAGATTGGTATCTCGATCGCCACAAAAAAAATAACAAGGAAAGGAATTTCTGGCAGAAACATAACAATCTGCACTGATAATAGAGAAGCCCTATTAGCCTTGAACAGAAAACGTGTTACCTCAGGGCTAGTACTAGAGTGCCATCAAAATTTAGCCAAAGCCTCGGTAGATAATAACATTATCCTGAGGTGGATTAAAGGGCACGACAGGAGTGAAGGTAATCGCATTGCCGACTCTTCAGCCAAGGAAGCGCCTGGACTAAGAATTTTAGGACCCAGTGGCACCTACGGCCTGATGACTTCGACAATTGCGGGGTTAGGCAAACGTCACACCCATGCTCAATCCCTGAAGAGATGGGATGAAATCAAAGGATGAAATCTTATCAGGATCACCCTTGGCGAAGTAAAAATATCTGGCGATGACCAGGAAAAGTATACGCTTAATAGTAGGATTTCTGACTGGCCACTGTCAACTAAGTAAACACCTCTACAATATGGGGCTAGTGAACACACCTCTATGCAAGATGTGTGAACAGGAAGATGAAAGTGTCAGGCATGTCCTATGGGAATGTCCGGAGTTATCGTGTGTGTTCGGCGAGTCTTGGCCTACACCTGTCGATATAAAGGAGATGTCTACCAGAAACCTGTCCACCTTCCTGGAAAGGACAGGATAGACAATGACCTAGGAGGACAACTCCTTGGGAGGATGTACAATGGGCCACATGTAGTCTAAGAGACTAAGTGCTGTGGGCCTACTCTACAGAGACAGATACCGTAGATTGCTGAGGGTGATGACCCATATCTAGGAGCTTCCGAATAATTTTTCAGCTTTCAGTACATTATCTACATCATAATTATCTTTTCTTTGGATAAAACCGTTCAACATGAAGATTCTTTTACTTATTTAATACTAACATACTAACATGTGGTAGTTAGGCCACTAGGATATGAAAAAATAACATCGCAGTGAAATTTAATCATAATGATCTCCTGATGACGCTAACTTGTCTGGCGAAACGCGCGCCAAGAAACCGTAATTTTTGTTTTGGTATTGGGAAAGTATTTTCAATAGTTATTTGATTTTTGTTTGTTTTGGTTTTATCATAATTTACCATGTTGTTCCTACGAGTAGTAGACATTATAACGGTCGACTCCCCCCCTCCCGAGGTCTAATAGAGGGGTAAGATGTGCCTTGAGGGGAAAAGGCTAATGACATATCATTTTTATCCACCTCAATGTATCGTTAAAGATGTCTCATTTTTAGCCATCCTCGATACAGATTTTTGTACGTATACATTGGTGCTATTGATTTTTTTTCAAATTTGGATTTTTTGCCTCTTCCCATCTCATAACCATATGATAGTAGGCGATTTTTGACCAATTTTTCCCTACGAATTCAAATTGAACCAAAGCGCAGCCTTAAAGGCCCTTAATATCAACCAGGTATTTGGCAATGATAGTGTTGATGAACGCAATATTTAACGTTGGTTTGTCAAATATCGTCCTGAAGATTTGAGTGGCGAAGTAGTCATCCTACAGTTATCCAGGACGAGGATTTGCAGACCCTGGTAGAGACAGACCCATCACGAATGGTGCGTGGGATAGCGAAAGAACTGAGCGTTAACTCCCATACGATTCTCGCTGATTTTAAACGTATTGGAAAGGTCCAAAACTTCGAAAAGTGGGTGCCCCACTGTTAAAACGATCGATTTCTAGGTCTGTCCTTCTTTACTTTTACAGGAGATGTTCAAAAAAAGGATGGTGTGATTCATTATAACTTCCTGCAACCGTGCCAAATCATTATAGCAGAGTACTTAATTGACGATCTGATCCTGCCCCACAATGCACGTTGCACAAATCACCGGCCAAAAATTGAGCTTTGAAGTTCTGCCTCACCAGCCATACTCCACAGACCTCTTGCCAACCGACTATCTGTTTTTCAAGCACTTCGATAATTTTTTTCTTCGGTGGAACCTTCGTCAATTAGGACCAGGCAAAAACGAACGACAAAATTAATCGACTTGTGTTACGTTGGCAAAAGTGCACTGATTCAAATGCCGCTCATTTCGATTGAATTTGATGAATATTCAGTGAGATACCACATCTTGGACCCAGTGGCACCTACGGCCTGATGACTTCGACTATTGCGGAACTAGCCAAACGTTACACCCATGCTCAATCCCTGAAGAGATGGGATGGAATCGAAGGATGCAATCTTGCCAAGAGTTGGGCCTTTTGCTGAACGGGCACCAACACGTTGATAGAGTTCTGATCACGTTTTTCAATGTTGAAAGCTGAACTGAATTCATCAGCCATACGGGCAGCTACTTTGAAAATAAATGCTTCAATTTGAGCTCTTCCATGGTCATGGACTATGCAGCGGAGAGCATCCAAACTCCTGATGACTTTTACAGGTTCCATCAATATCATCCTGTTATGAAGACCAGGAAAAGGAAGTTTTGGGATGGAAAATCCTATGGAGATACATTAGTTTTGTTGAATTTTACTAGTTCGGACTTCCATTGTCTGATATGATTCTCTGGTATGATTCGGAATCCTACTAATATGATTCCAAAACCCATTCACACGGGACAGTCTCTGAATGGTGAATCCAACCACTATCAATCTACCTAAAGAGATATCATCAAGACTTTAGTGGATCGTGTTTTCGGTCTCTGTAATTCAAAAGAAGGTCTTGAAGAGGACCAAGGCATCATTAAAAAATATTTTCAACGGAATGGTTACTCCAGAGTATTGGTAGAACAGGCTATAGCTAGAAGACAGCAAGAGCTCCACAAGGAAGAGAAGCCGCCACAGCCAGTACTTGTACTTCCCTACATTAGATGATTATCGGAAAGGATTGGGTCCAAGTATAACATCAGGACCTTCTTCAGATCTGGGAACACTATCCGTAGCAGCCTCACGAAAACCAAACGCGGTTTGTGACTGCAAAAACTGTATTTACCAGATACCCTGTGAGTGGGAAAAATCCTATATCGATGAAACTGAAAAATCATTGGAATTCCACATTGCCGAACACAAGAGAAACGCATAACATCAAGTAGCCCCAAACTGAGATCATCAAGATGGAACATTGTTTTGAGAGGAAGTTGAAAGAAGCTGAATATATGTTGTCCAATGATCCATACAACCAAGCTAGCGTCGAATGACCTATAAACAGTCATGTTTTGGAAGAATAGTCCAGTCATCACCCGAAAACGATCGTGGATACTAAGAATCTAAACGTCATGAAGTAATTTGGTTTGAGATATTTTTTGATTTTTCAATTTCTTTTATTTTTTGTTGATGATATTTTCATTCTTTTCCATTTTTTCTACTCTGTGGTCACTTTCGTTTTTTATTTTGATTATTTTATTCATTTCATGGTTCAATAGAATTTTATTCTTTCATAGTTTTCGAATCATATCAGACAGCACATATTAATAAGTCATATGTTGATTCCATCTGCATGAGAAACTTATGATTTTATACTTCGAATAATTTTTGAGTCCTCAATTTCATTAGCCTGAAAAAAATTAAATGCAACACCTCATCCTTGTTTCTAGTTTTTATTACAGAAATTCATTTGGTCTCCATCTGGGATGTTATTATTACGAGGGGTTCTTACATTTTTCGATTTTCTAAAGATCCATCCTGATTTCGTTGTGTAACATAACATATATTTTCTTCACAATTTTCAGATTTTCTGGGGATTCATTGTGATTTCGTTCTGTAACATTTATTTCCTCCGCAATTCTCAGATTCTCTGGGGATTCACTCTGATTTCGTTCTGTAACTTCTATTTTCTCCACAATTTTTACATTTTCTGGGGATTTAATCTGATTTCGTTCTGTATAATGGATTCTCCACACAATTTCCAGATGTTCTGGGGATGATTATAATTGCGTTCTGTAACATTTATTTTTTAACATTTATTTTCTCCACAATTTTCAGATTCTCTGGGGATTCACTCTGATTTCGTTCTGTAACTTCTATTTTCTCCACAAATTTTAGATTTTCTGGGGATTCAATCTGATTTCGTTCTGTATAATTTATTCTCTCCACAATTTCCAAATTTTCTGAGGATGATTATAATTTCGTTCTGTAACATTCATTTTCTCCACAATTTTAAGATTTTCTGGGGATTCATTCTGATTTCGTTCTGTAACATTCATTTTCTTAAGGTTTTCTTTTTTTTTCGTTATCAAATTTTGAATTAGCTTTTTTCGGCAGGAATACGAGTAACTGTATTGGTGAGATTTTTCGGTTCCTTATAATAATTTCAGCGCTGTGGAAGTTGTGAGATTTCAATTCTGCCCCAATGTGTACTTGAGGAGTACACAACATTGATACATGTTACTCTTTTTCCCAGATAACAAATATCATCAGTGAATTATCCACTGAATGAAAGTATTCCAAGTGTTATGACTTTTGAATCGAACACGGTCCGGATAGTTTCCGTTCAATCGTCCGCCTATTTCAGACTCGAAGATTTTTTTTATCGACATTCCATTTATACCTTCGCCCTTCACGTATGAAGTCATGAACATTTCACATAACTGAAGGAGTAAGGAAATGAAATTTTCTCAATTTCCTATTAACCGTATTGATCTCTCGCACCGACCAGGTCACTCTTTGATTTTCCATCAATATCTATGTCAACACTTCATCAATGGGAAATTTCTTGAAACCCGTCTAGTTCCTGTCGAAAACAGATTTTTGAAATCACGAAATAGAAGAGGAGATTATGCTTTTGAAAACATGAAATGGTATTTGGATTTGCGCAAACTTATTTTCTTTTTGGTATAAGGAAAATGGTACTATTGAAAATATCATTTAATTCATCTAGTTACGGTTTTCTGAGTGATCGACTGATTTCCAGGATTTCAGTTATCATAATTTATTTTGATAAGGAAATATTTGGCGCACTGCAACTGAAACAAGCTTTTTTTTAATTTTTGTTCATTCTAATTGAAAGTATGTATTGAATTTTCAGTCGCAGACCCAGGACAGAGATATGAACCTGCCTAGGAACCTATGCGACTGTATTTCAAGCGAAAATCTTATGCTATTCAATTGGGTGCGGAGAGTTTGGTAGAATCCAACCTCATACACAAGTCAATCAAAATATTTTCGGACAGTCAAGCGGCGTTGGAGGCTCTTGGCTCCTACCGAGCAACGTCTAAATTGGTAGCAAATTGCCAAAAACGACTCTTCTCGATAGGGAGACTTAGCAGATTGTCTCTGGTCTGGACTCCTGGCCATAATGGCCCGGAAGGCAATGAGGCTTCTGACTCCCTTGCAAAGGAGGATGCTTCAAGCATCCTGGCAGAATCTTCTAGGATTGGCTCACTCCAAGGCGTTTCTTCATCCTTTGAAGCTTGATACCAAACAGTTGTTGGAATCAGTAGGGATCAACTACGATGTCTAATAGGCCTTCTTACAGGTCACTCTCATGTGATTCATCATATGCAGAGACTCGGACTGTCGGAAGACAGTGTTTGTCGCCTCTGTTCGGAAAATGATGAAACAGCAGAGCACATACTTTGTGCCTGCCCCGCTGGGAAACGAATCAGGTTTTTAGATTTCAGCGGAGCCTTACTGTTACCATTTCACCTGAAAGACCGCTCACCAAACAAACTGATCGGCTTCGTTAAGAAGCTGGGTTCATTTGGTCGAGTATGAATAGATGTGAGTCACAATAAACCCTTGCGGGTTGTGGTAGAGGGTCGAATAGACTCACTCACTCTGAACCTAACCTAACCTATGTAATGACTTACACACCTATGTATTGTTGTGGAATTGGCCGCAGTGGTAGTGCGCCCGATTCACGATCGGAAGACCGTGGGTTCGATTTCCGCCTCGACCAGATATTTTTCTAGAGAGAATTTATCTGGTTGAAGCTGGGATGATTCTGCAACCGTGTTAGGAATCACACGTTAGAAGGTAAGACCTCGTTAGTCCTTAGCTCGCACAAGTTTCACAACTTCTGAGAGTTGTTGTTCGTATGGGGGCGACACCTGATTAACGGAAAAACATATGTTAAACACTTATGATGCACTGTTTAGAACCTTAAGTGTAGTAATGAATATTACTGGAGTTTTTTCCCCAACACCAAATCGTTATTTTTAACACGTCGACACGTGTTTCGATCACCAAGTGATCATCTTCAAAGAGGAAGACTAAAATTAAGGACTAGTGCGAGCTAATCCTATTTATGCTATAAAGGTAACTCATTCAGGTAAACCATCCAGGCATACCAACCTAAATTAATTTTACAATAAAACAATTTTCAGCTATATAAAAATTAATTTCACAATATTGCCTATCCAAATTTATTTTTTCAATGTGTCCTTTTGTAGTAATCAGTAAACCCACCAACATTATTTTATTTTATTTTATTTTAACAAGCTATGTAGTATGCTCTTTGGTATAGGTCCGTCATCGTTATTCATAATATTATTGTGTACTCATTTCTACACTCCCATAGGTATCTAGTTGCCTGTTGTTGTTAACTTGTCTAACTAATCTTAATGAACTGAAGTCTATGGAATGGTTTTGTTGCAAAATATGATGGGCGACTGCTGATTTTTCAGGTCTTCCATATTTTAAGTGTGCTTTGTGTTCCTTATATCTTACTTTACTAGATCTTTTTGTCTGTCCATAATATTTTGCATCGCAATCCTTACATTCAATTTCGTAAATTCCAGACTTTTTCGAATTTTTGACTTTGTCTTTTGGACTTCCCAAAAGGCTCTGTAGTGTATGACTTGTTTTAAAAACCACCTTCATACCTAATTCCTTGAAAATCTTTCCAAAGTTCCTCGTATAATATACGCCAAATAAAACAAGTTATTTCACTCCTATTGCGACAGACACGTCCTATTGCGAAGTATCTAGAATGTCTAGAAAATATACACAAAAATATCCATCGACATCTCCTCCCTTGAAAATAAAAGTTCTCCTGTCATATTATTGACAAAACAAATTATCATAATTCGGTGGATCTGAAGGTCCTGTTCTATTACTAGCTGAATGATCTACAATTGGTTTCTCATCGTCTGAACTTTGTTTCTCATTTCTGATATTTTCTTTTACGGTAAATGGAACAAAATTGAATTTTTACATTTGATTTTAATGACGTCTCCATCCGAAAACGGGAAAACAGCACAAACGAAAGCAGTCACTAACAAGAGCCTACCGCACATTTGTGATTTCAGTTTGGAAACCTAGAATTGTTAGGATGCATCTAACATTACCACGGAGGCAGCTACAGCTATCTGCGTGACTTCCAGAAAATAGATAGCCAGAAAGACGTATCCTCGGTTTGCATCTCCCTTTTGTAGAGTGCTGTTTCGTCCAATCTCCTTCGTTATACCGTGCATTTGTGTTTTTTCTGCAACCAAGTGTTGCCTAACCTTGTACTTGGCTATACTGTATTGATGACTGCTAATGGGATAGAAACATGTGTCTGCGGTTTGCTTATTATTTTTTCACTTGACCATACCGATAGGTTAGGTCCAAAGTGAGTGGGTCTATTCGACCATCCACCACAACCCGCAAGGGTTGTCAAATAAACTCAGCTTCTCAACGAAGCCGATTAGTTTATATGGTGAGTGGTCTTTCAGGTCAGATGGTAAGAGTACGGCTCTGCCGAACTCTAAAAACCTGATTTTTGCATGTCAGCAACACCTGACAATGCCTTAGATTCAACCGTGCAGAACTTTTTCGCCTCTGGTTTTGGTGAATCATCACTTGGGCGCAAACGTTAGCTAATGGGGGGTTTGTTCCTCCACCTGAGACAGATTCTGCGTACGCCGCTCAAGAATTTGATGCGGGGCGATTTCATGAGGTAACTCGCCCTTGAGGAGACGACTCAGTCGTTTCCTGGCTGCACCATCAAACCTTTTTTTTAGGTTCAGTTATTGGATCAGGGATTGGGGAGTTGAGAAGCTCTCGCTCCTGAACTCAATTTACAGGGAGGTCAGTTGGAGTCGTGAACTCGACATCCATCTCCTCTGTAGACTCGCTCCTGATCTAAATTTACATGGAGGTCAGTTGTAGTCGAAAGTTTGAGATCCATCTCCTCTATAGACTCAGCGTCAGAAGGAATTTTTCAAGTTCACTCTGTCCATAAAAGTCCCATGAGTAGCTAGGGAAAGAAGGTCAATCACGGCAGAGCCCCGCATTACCCAGTGTCATTCATCCTCTCAGCACGGATACACACACCTTAGGATTAAGCCATCGTTGAGATGACATTCAGTTAGGGAATAACAGGACCACAAGTGATTCTGTCATTCCCGTGTCCAGGCTACGAGGAAGAAGGCATCCGATGGCCGGTTTGCTCAACCCCCACATCCCAAGCCAATGCACTCGCCAAAAACAGCATGCACAGTGGTTCAGGCAGTGAAAGATGAACAGGGACAGCCAACACGCCCATACCGTACTGACGACATCTAACGAAATATTTTCCTCGCTTTTTCAACAATTTCCAACAAACTTCAGATGATGTGGACATTCTATATTATTCCGACTCCCTTGTTTCAGATTCCGTCGATGATGTGCAACTAGCAGTTTTGGCAGCAGTGACTATATGCAGAGCCTTGCGGTGAACTGGTCAAATTATAATAATAAAACATGTTACAATTTAATATAAAGGTGAGTTGGAGTTGAAAACCACAAAGACGCTTGAAATGGAAAATGCGCGTAAACTTGTTAATAATCAATCTACTCTAAACAAAGACTGAAACTGGTTAGGAATAGAGTTTATGATGTGGTTCAGTGTAGACATATCGTTGGCCATTTTACGAGAGTTGCTAAATTTTGTGTTATTTGAACTGTAAATGGTCAACGAAGTCCGTATAGTTTGTTTTTTGATGTGATGAACTATATTTTGATCATATTGATGTTCAATTGAATGCAGGTATTACATGTACTCTTAAAAATGTTGAATGTTCAGTTTTGAAATGAGGAATGGAACAAGGTACGTATGGGGTAAGAAGGCTGATGAAAAATTGATCCTACCTCTGAAAATCAAAATACGAGTAGATATGTTATAGTGCTTTTTTCAAAAATATAGGTACATCGATATTTGATATATGTGGTATTTTTTGAGTACTGCCTTCTTATCCTGTATCCACCAATATGAGTTCCTAAACCTTCACAGATACTCTAAAATTGAAAACTGTACTACGTACTGAAAACATTGTTAGAAAAACCACAAATATGCACACATTCCGGATAAATTGTTTGGATTGGGAAGTATACTCATTTTTTTGTCTAAATACTTTTGTCATCATTGCTATTTTCACGCCCATACTCAACCCAATGCATTTTCCTCAATTCAGGAGACATGTGAAATAGTGTATTGACAACAATATCTATTTTATACACATATAATTATTTGAAAGAAAATACATCTTCAGTTGAGTAACGCTTTCTGTTCAGAACAAATTAAAAACGAGTCAATTTTTTATTCTGTGTGTGAAATATTCGTCAATATAGAGGTGGGAAATGCATTTAGCATTCATGCGGCATCGGATTAGAATGTTGAAAATGTGTGAATGAATGAATGAAATGATATTGCCATATGGAAGTTTGAATGAAAATATACAGTCCGTTTCAGATGACCCCACTATTACTATTTCACAAACGGTAAGACTTACGAAGTCGATTGAATTGAAAAAAAAAATCCTACCTTGAGAAACTAGAATTATTTGTTTTTAGATCGAGATTATCAGTGGTTGCTTTCAAAATATTCACCAAAAACCAGAATTATCGAATTTATTGTTTTGTTCCATATCTGTATAATCTGATATAAACAAATTTGCAGAGCGACATTACGTTCATTAGATTTCATCATCAACTTTATTTTTTTGAATTCGGACCTCTGGTTTTTTTCATCGATTTGTATAATCACTGTAAACAAATTCAGTCATCTATCACAATACATGCATCAGAGACAATGCAAGTCCTGCAAATAATGATTCAGACGATAATAAATAGACTTGGTAGATAACGTACGTCATTTCTGCTCTAGTCTTAAAATATCAATTGTTTGGTACCATACTTCAAAGAAGGTACAAATTCTTTCAAATGTGCAAATCCTGTTTGATGTGAAAGTCCCTCTGTAGAAAAAGGAGGTAAGTGTCGTCTGCAAGGGGGTGAAGAAGAATTTCATATCGAAATTGGACTCTTTCGAAGAAAATTCTAAATTCGTGTGCTTTGGAAATTTTGAGTTTTGAGTTACAAGGGCATCGAATTTCTGATGGAACACCCTGTACATTCATAGATTCTCACAATTGCAAAGTATGACACTCATCGTGGCCAGTGTCACATCAAGTTATCATTTCAAATCATCCATTCATTGGGTTCCTGTGGAAGTTCTTCTTAAAAAGAATAAAAGTATATGCAAATATGGCACAATTGATCGATGATATATTCCTTATTCTGATCAATCACCTCCGAATGCTCAGGCAACTTCTTAATGCTATCTTGGTAGAACTATATCCGGACTATGAGCTGGATATGACAAAACCTTCCATTCATCGTGTGGTCGACGTCCTCTTGAAGGAGTGAAACCTTCATGTTCGTGATGGAATGACGGGAGTTTTTGGAAAAGCATCAGTTGTCACTTCTTCTTTCAGAAGTCCGAATGTACGAAACCCGAGATATTCCACCAGACCCACAACACCACTTTTCTGTGGCGATCGATCTGCGCTTTTGCCTTGGAGTTGCTCACTTTTTGTCACGACCATGGTTGACATAGAGAGTTCATTTACATATTCAGTAACAATCCATTCGTAAAATGCTTTGACCGATAGCCCACTGAGAAATGAGGTGTACACTGTCACTGATTGTTTGTCTGACCTTCAGTCAGACTGTGCAGAACCCAAAGACCACACATGTAGGCCTTGCTCATGGTTCTCTATGGAAAGAAACCATCGGTGCACTCAATTCCGAATGCAAACAAAACCGTGTACCACAGAAATGAGACCAAATCATCCAAACACTTTTTTCAGATTTTTTTCATTCACAGATACAAAAACGTATAAGTATTCTGCTTCCATATCATGTATCTTTGTATACAGGGTGTTGATTAAGTATGTACCATAAATTCAACAGACGATCCTGAGGTAATTTTCAGACGAAATGTTCAAATAAACATGGGTCCGCAAATCTTCCGTTCTCAAGATACAGGGTGTTGAAATAAAAATTAAAAAAAGTTATTCGTAAATATCTCAAATATCCCTTACCTAATTCTCTTGTAATTTGGCAATGGTAATTATAACATTGAGGAGCTAATTTAGCTCGAACGTGATTCAATTTATTAAGTCCAATGGCGTCTCGAGCGGGATTTGAACGAATATTTTTGACTTAAAAATGTACGTCACTGACTTTTGTGCAATTTCCATTATTTCTTTGGATTGAGAAATTAGAAATACAACTTTTTTGTCTCTTGAATTTTTTTCGTATCTTGCTTAGTTTTTAAGAAAAAAAAGTCGACCTAATTGCATATCCCTGGACCTCACAAGGAATAATATGGGAAATTGAATGTTTTTTTTGGAAATTATTATTTTTACAATTTTCCATTACTAATTATGTAACAATAACAACAAATATTAAATAACATCAACATCTAGACTAACGAATTGCACTAAATTAAGTGTTGGAAATGGCCTCCTTCAGCTTCAATACAACCGTCTAGCCGCTGCATCATTGAATTTTGCACTCTGTTGTCACATGAATTAATGATTTTATTCCGTAAATCCAACGCCTCGAGGTGTCCCCAGAGAAAATAATCTAAGGGATTCATTTCGGGCGAGCGAGGTGGCCATGGGTGTGGGCTGCTCTCCCAATCCACCAATTATGGTAATTTTCATCCAAAAATTGCCGTGCCACTACACTAAAGTTTGGTGGAGGACCATCGTGTACATACGGAATCTTTCCATGACTGGGATTTCTTCTAAAAGTCCAGGTAAAACAAATTCTAAAAACCTTCGGTATTCTTCTCCATTAAGTCTAGGTGGAAGGAAGTGAGGCCCAATGAGATGGTCACCGACAATTCCAACTTAAATATTAAAAGAAGACTGTTCTTGAAAATTATTTTCTATCAAGGCGTGTGGATTGTTTTCGGCCAAAATGTGATTGTTGTGAAAGTTAATAATTGAATTGCGAGAAAAACAAGCTTCATCTGTGAACAATATTCGACTTAGAAAACCTGGATTTCTTCTCATTTTACCGCGTAACCAATTAGAAAAAGCTAGTCTTACAGGCAAATCTCTGGGAAATGGAGCTTGCACACGTTGCATGTGATAGGGATATAGCTGCTGGGCCCTTAAACTCTGCCATGGGTAATATTCAGTTCTTTAGCTATTTTCCGAGTACTGGTATGAGGATTTACTTTAATCTCATTTAAAACAGTTTCTTCAATTTGAAATGTTCATACCATTGTAGGCCTCCCAATGACAACTGTCGATCTTTTAAAGCTGCCCGTTTCAAAAAGTCGTGCATGGAGACGTACAAAAGTTCTTCTATTAGGCACTACACGCTGAGGAAATCTTTCATGATAATGCGTCTTGCAGCATTCGATATTCCGTGAGCCATTTCATAACATATCCATAGTAATTTCGCAAACTACACCTAAACGATTCGATCTCCACAAACTTTTTGTGGAGATCAAATCGTTTAGGTGTATTTTGTGAAATTACTTTTTTTTTATTTTTTTATAACACCCTGTATCTTGAGAACGAAGGATTTGCGGACCCATGTTAACATGAACATTTCATCTTAAAATTTCCTAAAGAATTAGCACCCTGTATCTCCATCAGAAGTTGCTATCCCATACAGAAACAATAACGCAATTATCATACCTGCATTTATGTGAATCAGTTCCGTTATCAATTGATGTCAATGTTGCTCTCTGGATGAGGTCCCCAAATACCTTATTCAAAAATATTTTGAAAGAAAATACAGGGCATCATACCTTCAACTGCTATGCGTGGTTGAGAAAAAGGTATAGCAAAAAGTAAAAGGGTTACTCTTGTAGGAGGAATTATCAACAAAGGCTTGTGTACTTCTCTCTGAAGTAGAGGTTTGTGAATCTGAATATTAGTGTAATTTGTGGTTGTTCTAACATTAGATCCTTATGGATCTGAATACTTCAATTTTCTAAATATTATTATATGAAAAAAAAAATTAAAGGTACTTATTCCACTGCTAAGAGTGCATAATCAAACCCATCCCACCTTAGGTTTCATATTTTTATCGGTGCCAAACTCATTTGCCCAATCACCAATGCCCGAAACCAATACCCTTTATATAAATATATTCGAAATGAAGTTATTGAATGGCTGAATAGAGCAGGTATGGTTAAATATTGGTTATTGGTAAAAGAGTAAAACTTCAATATATTTATTACATGTAGCTTTTCTAGCAACCAAACACTGTTTATGTATGTACTATAGATGCAAATGTGGACTATCTAATGATTGACACATTGATGGTGAGGCAAAGGTAAACAAAATCGAAGTGTTGGTTTTTACTTCTCGGGTGAGAACGAGAGTCTTCAATTTTTGATTCCACAAAGATGAACGGTTTATGTCTTTTCGATGATCTTGATTGGTATGTCACTTTGACAAGATGGGTCAGTATTTTGCAAAAAAATCAGAATGTTATAGCATTTGAAAATTTGATTGACAAAATTTGAGATCACCCCACTTTCATGTTTTGAACCGTAGAAGATATCAAGGTCGAACAAATTTCACATGGAAAAGCAGCTTTTCAAATACTTTCGAATAGAAAAAAACAATGGTGGTGCATTACTTTTCGCCGAGAGAGCGCTATCAATTTTTTTTAACTTTTCATAATGTCAGACGTCAATATTGTCAAAAGGTTAATGATGAACATTCATTGGGATGAACTGGAGTAAGGTTTGAATGGATTTGTCAATCTACAAGAAGCCGAAGGCATTTATTCAAATCCTAATAAGGTTGAAAATCGAGTTTCTTTTACATTCGTGTCCTAATAACATACAAATTCATTTTTTTGTAATTACTTCCAGGTTATTTGCAAATGAGATGTTATATAATGATTTGAAATATTTATTCATGGGTTTTTGAATGTATAAGCTGCCTTTCGAAAAACATAGGTACATTTTCATTTCATATACTTATCAGTAATTCATACATTCGTAGAAATGTGGAATATAGATAATGAATTGAAGAGGTCCAAGATTGAAACCTTGTGGAACTTCATAATTGGTGATCAGAACTGCAGATTTGGAGTTGTCACGGTTGGCATACTGAGTTCAATGTGCTTAAAAAGTTTGGATGAATATAAAGCACATTTCTCAAAAGCAAAGTGATTTAGTTTGTCACAGTAGACAATTCGATCATTTGAGCAACTAAATCATGAAAGTAATCAACTAGAAATTAAAGTTCCAAAATGTAATTTTTCTCAAAACTTTGGGCGGATCTTACTCCAACTTCAATGCCTTTGAAATATTTTGGGGTAATTCTTACCATCACTCAGGAGGTGCAAGACAAAAATACCAACAATGAAGTGTCTGTTTCGTATTCATTCAGCGAATCTACTCAAAAGAACGAAATATATAAGGATGAATTTTGAAAACACCATACTTCGAAAAGAACTGAATTGGTTCTTTGAAGATCAGAGAAATTGTTGCCTCGGGTAGACCAACAAATCAGCTGTAGCCAATCATGCAATCGAGAAAATCTTTGGAAGAAAAACAAATATTTGACAAAACTCAGAATCACTTTTGGATAAGAGAATTTATGGAGTCATTCATGAACAGAAACAATTCCATTCTGAAAGAAGAGGAAATTACCTGTTCTAAAGTGCACATAAATCAAGTCATTCAATTCAAACAATGAAAACGAAGCTATGCACAGCACTAGTGATATGGAATGGACAAAACATTCCATCTTCTTTGGCGACACTAAGAGCCGTTCGTTCGTTGCCTCATCGACTTTGATAATTCCTACCGCAATCGTAGACAAAATGTCAGGTATGGAAATGTATAGATCACACCCAATGAACAGAGGAAATAGATTTGTGAGAATGCCAAAAGCTACTTCTCGATAGAGTTAAATTGAACGATCTCTAAAACGCCTAAGTTTCAGATGATGTATGTGTAGAGTAGAAAGGGTGAGTGTAAGCCCACAGCACTTAGACAGACCACTCAGACCATTGTACATTCTCCCGAGGAGTTGTCCTCCGAGGTCATCGTCCATCCTGTCCTTTCCAGGAAGGTGGACAGGTCACTTGGATACATCTCCTTTATATCGGCAGGTGAAGGCCAAGACTCGTCGACCACACTCTCTCTTATTGACGATAACCCCGGGCTCTCGCATAAGACATACCTGGCACTCTCATCTTCCTGTTCACACATCCCGCATAGAGGTGTGTCTACTAGCCCCATATTATGGAGGTGTTTTCTTAGTTGACAGTGGCCAGTCAGAAATCCTACTGTGAAGCGTAGATTTTTCCTGGTCATCGCCAGATACTTTTTCGGCGCCAGCTTCCCAAGGTCGCCCAAGGTGATCCTGGCAAGATTGCATCCCTTGATTCCATCCCATCTCTTTATGGATTGAGCATGGGTGTTACATTTGGCTAGTTCCGCAATTGTCGAAGTCATCGGGCCGTAGGTGCCACTGGGTCCTAAAGTTCTTAGTCCAGCCGCTTCCTTGGCTAAAGATTCGGCAATGCGATTACCTTCACTCCTGTCGTACCCTTCAACCCACCTCAGGATAATGTTATCATCTACCGAGGCTTTGGCTAAATCTTGGTGACACTCTAGTACTAGCCCTGAGGTTACACGTTGTCTGTTCAAGGCTAATAGGGCGTGTTTGCTGTCAGTGCAGATTGTTATGTTCCTGCCAGAAATTCCTTTCCTGGTTATTTTTTTTGTGGCAATTGAAATACTAGCCGGTTCTGTTTGGACTACGCTGATATTTTTTCCCATTCCCCACTCAATCCTTAGGCTTAGTGATCAGGAGTACACTTCACATCCTGAACCTTCTTTGGTTTTTGAGCCCTCTGTATATATGCGTATTGCATTTGTAGCATCTAAATCTGTGTTATGTTTTATTTGTATTTTGTAGGGTTTATCAAACACAAAACTGGGTTCAATAGAATTACTGGTTGTCCAAATTTGAGTCAAACCTCAATTGCTGGTGGAGTAACTGTGCTTTCACTTTCACTATGAGAAAAGAAGTGTTCGTGTCCTGCTGCTAGAGTTCAATGTGTACCCAGTAAAAGAGCAAGAAGAATATC